CGTCGATGTCAATTATTTTAATCAAAATGATTGAATCATCGAACGGGCGTGCATAAATCTATACATAGCAACTTTTCCAATTGCTTCCCTTTTACCATCGTCAAAAGAAATAGCTACATAATAAAAATGATGCGGGCGATTAAAAAGAAAGCAACAAAGTAGGAGAATGAAAAAAGCCCCATCGAAATCGTACATTTCGGCCATTGTCATCGGCCCACGCGTTGCTCCTGCAGCAGCAGCAGCAGCCAAGCTAATCGCTGTCGGCGCGCGATCGATGAAATTTACGGTGGCTTCGGAGAATCTAAAAGCCATAAAAATCATCGCACGCGAGAGAGAGAGCGAGAGAGAGAGAGAGAGAGAAAGATGAAGATAAAGTCTTGTCGATCGTCGGTCCGAGGCGCGTGGCTCACAAAGCCCATCGTCGTTGGAAATGAAACGACACAATGGGGTTGAGGGTTATAAGACGTAAGAGAAGGGAACTCAAAAAACGCCAGGTGTGTGCCTGTGTCGCTCTCCTACTAGCGTGCGCGTGTCGTACGCGCGAGGCGCACGCACCGTTGCGACAAAGATTATTTTCCTTCACGACGTTCTCTCTCTCTCTCTCTCTCTCTCTCTCTCTCTCTCTCTCCTCTCTATACCCGCGGGGACCCAGAGCGCTATTTTTATTGGCTCACCGACTGTATCATCCGACCCAAAATTTTTTCAAAGCTTCGATTTTTTTCGTATGTTTTATTTGAATGATTTACGAATAATTTCTAGAAACATTAACTGCTTATGAACAGACGGCTTATCGAGCTGCGTCACCAATTAAAAAATTCATTAAAAGCTTATTTTTATGAAACTAGTTTGTAGATAATTTAGACAATTTCGAAGTAAGTGGTACATTATGAAAAGTCTTTAGCGCCCTTTCACTTTTTTAATGTTGCGATATTTTACACAGACAATTATTGAAAGCTTGTTGAACACTTGCTTATTTATAAAAAATTTAATAGTCATTGCTTGGAAATTCTAATAAGAAATATTCAAAATATTATCAATAGTTATTATTTATATTTGAGGAGAAGGTGTAAAAATTATATGACACAATTTGGTAAGAGCTTCATAAAATCTGAATAAGCCGAAGGACACAATAAATTTACTCAATTCTTAGTAACAATAATTTAAAAACATTAAGTTTATTCCTCTTTTATATTTTCATAAGAAATAACGTTAATTTTTATAACAAACATTCACTGTTCATAATTGCAATTTGAATAATAAAGCGAAAATCCCAAACATAAATCGTCGATTTTCCACACGGACTGTACATATGAAGAGCATCAGCAGCAGCAGCAGCAGCAGCAAAGGCGGAGGAATAAAGCATTATTTGGGAAGGTGAGGCCAAGGTGCGCATAAGGGAGGCCCCCGTTGAGGATTTTAAGGGATCCCGTCTTAAAAGAATCCCGCTTCTTTGGTCGCTTCACGCCACCTACGATTAAGAGTGACCCCGAAAAATCTGGTCCAGGTGTCACTGTGCAGGCTTCCTTTTTGTACGCCAAGGTTTCATTGAAAAACAAGCGGGGAGAGCACGACACGCAGAGAAATCTCGAGTGGAGTATTTTCGCTGTACATAGCAGCTCACGCTTATTTGAATTTCCCAAAAACATCGTCGTAGAGTGTATTCGCGTTTTATTTCCTTTGTTTTTATTTGAAGGCTGGTAGTGGGATGCGGTTTCTACAAACGGCAGCTTGCTATTTATTTGAGCGAAAAATAAGTACGATCGGTTTATAATAGCGTGTTTTGCAAGTTGTGGATTAGCGGTATGCTGTTGATTATTCATGATTTGCGTAGGTATGAACTTTTTCCATTGAGCTTTCAAAGCACCATTCCATCGGCAAGTTGAATAATACATTGCCGACTGTGTTGTGCAGCTGGAAAATAATCAAACATTTATAATCACTGTGCTCGGAATAATTGCAACACTGGCATAAGTTAATAGTTTCAAACTAAACCACAACAACAAAGCTTCTTGATGAATAGAATTCGTCTAACAAAATTTTAAAACACTCACACGTCCACGTACACGCACAGTGATACCCATACATCGATCCTCACGGACCTTGAAAAGTAATTAAAAAAACCGTACACGCGAATGTCGAGAGAACATAAAAAAGCAGGGGCATCGCAGTCGCAAAGACAAGTGCGCGCACAATTTTAACCCCGTTACACTGGGAAGCAGATCGTCAACGAGAGAGAGGAGAGAGAGAGAGAGAGAGAGAGTGAGAGGGTGGGGATACTATACTCTCTCTCTCTCTTTCCGCGGCCGACAAAGGACAACAGAGTCTCTTTGTTCTCCGGCTCAACGGCTTCCCTCTCACTCTGACTCTCTCTCTCTCTCTCTCTCTCTCTCTCTGTCTCGCGTGTTTTATCAAGGTCACTCATTCAGCCACCCCGTAGCAGCAAGCCTGTTGCGGAATCCCTCGCGACGAACGACCGACCACTTAGTTTTCCTATATAGCCGAGTTTTCATGTTTTCTGACAGTTTTTGTATGACGAACGCGACGCAGAGAAGTTGAATGTCGATGTGCTTGTATGCGGAGCTTTCGCACACTGTATTTCGCTTCCACCGCTGCTGTTGTTTCCAGGATTATTTACACCTACGATTTACGAGCACAACGTCGAGAGAGCTTTGTTAAGCTTATCGAATAGTTCAAATAAAAACTAGATGATAGTAACGCGAATTATGAAACGATTTTCTCGCCTGATTTGTACTGAATTCATGTCGCGGTAGTTATTGACAAGATACTATATCGTATGATGCATTTTGAAATTCTTATTCGAAATTGATGGATTTTTATTTCTAAATTCTTTACTATCGTTTCCAGTAATCGAAAAAACCATCTACCTTCTTTGTATTGTTTTTTCAATTTTCCTAATAAATAAAGATGTCAACGTGGTCTGATCAGGAAGCGGTGAACAGAAAAAGGAAAAAAAGGAACAAGAGGAAGTAGAGCCGATTTCAGCGAACTAGGGCCGTCTAGTGGGTCATCGGCAGGAAACGAGACGTCGAGCAGAGAGGCTCTAACCTACAAACTATCGGGGCTCTCTCGCGCGTCATCCTCGCGGGCAGCTCATTTCCTTCTTCGCGAGCCGGATTTAGCTACAATGCACTACGAAATCCGTTCGCACTCTCTTTCTCGAGAGAGCGAGATGAACGTGTGGGCGGATCGCTATGCGCTCGGGAAATCCATTTTTGGACGTTTTATATGCTGCTGCTTGACTGACGTGAGTATCGAGTGTTCAAAGGATGAAGTTTCACTATTAAGCTGCAATTTCAGTTTATAGTAAAACGATGCGAGCTCTTTGAATTAGCTTCGAACATTTCAATTCAGCTAAAATACATCGATCGACCGATCGAGAAATAAAATTTATCTCTATAAGGTGATCCCAAACTGTCATCGTCGTGATAAATGTTAGTGTCAAATAATTACGTATTTGCATAATTACGAATAAAATATTCCACTTCTTTTTAACGTGGGACACCATTTTGTGTCTATCGATTGTAATCTTTAAATGTTCATATCTTTCGATTACATCGTCGTACCGAATCAGAACTTTTATTAAGTGTGAAACCTCCACCAGAAGCCCGTCACCCATTAAACAAATAGCGATATATCTCGAAATCAACCACATCACACGATCTTATCGGAAGGAAATATTGTACAGCTTTTGCGGCTTTATTATTTTTTTTTTTTTCGAAGCATATACTTGTTTGATTTTTATTGCTCACTTTGGAAGGAAAACGACCAAAGAAGAAGAGAAAAGGCTAAGAAAACCGGCCAAAAAAGGCAACGGAAATATAAATCGTGACAGGCGCGGTTTACCTGCAATTACCCCCACGGGTACCAGGAATTCATTCACACCTCTGGACACGAAACCCCGTGGCGTGGCTCGCGACCCGCTTTCCTGGAACATTTTTACACAATACTATCACAGCATGATGGACTTAGATTGTGTTTATAAATGTTAAAGCTAACATTTATCAGTGGGTTTGTTGTCAATTTTACAAAACAGTATTGGTATTTTAGTGATTTTTTACTTTATTGTTATTGGGACTCAATGAGATCGGATCGTTCATAGTGTATATTTATTAATCATGTAATTCGTTAAGTTTTTTATCGTTATAGGTTTAAACAAAGTAATAATAACAACTACTTGAAAAATTGTACTCATAAAATAAGTGAAAATTTCTCCAATGATTAAAAATCATACCGAAGTCTTTCATACTCTTGACAAATGTAATAACCTAGAAATAAGTCATCAGAACATTAGTACTGTAATTCCAATATCCCAATCCATAGCACTGTGCCAAGAAATCTGCCATTTATTTTGGGAATAAAATAGAAGTCAATGTGTAAGACCTGAGGATACGATTTTACTTTTTCTGTATGCCTGCTTACAGCTCGCTTATTTGGCTTTGTATTTGCAGAGAAGTGACACCTGTCTGCATCTTCTAGCTACTGTGCAGCCGTGAAGCAAACACGTCTACTGCCATTATAATCTTTGATGATTTTTATTTATGAGTTTCTGAGAGGCTTCCTATTTCACTGACTTTTTAGGATAAACAGACAATGCTTTATTTAGAAAGTATTTTATTCTTGATTCTAGTAGTAATGATAATTATATATATAAAGTATGATATTTGAGTACTTTTATTCAATATTGATAGATGATTTTGAAACCGTAAGTTAGGAAATATAAATTGTATTGTTATTTTTATAACAATAGATTGATACTTATTAGATTGTAAAGGTATAATGTATTTTCTGTAGGTGTTTATTTTACATAACGTTACAAAAATCAAGTGACTTTAGTTTTCGATATACGAAAGAAAAACCTAATGAATTATTTTTATTTACAAAAGAATAGAAAGAGTCAACAACAAAAAATGTCTCTAGAGAAGTGACTCAACAGATAAATGTTTTCCTTTGTATCTTCGTTAATAGTGTCCGGACGTTACGATGCATTTCTTATCCGAGTATTATAATACCTATATTGACGATAGCTATGGTTCGTTTACTATAACTTCGAAGCAGTGTAATATTTTCAAGATTTATTACTCTTCAAGTATTAGTCTTGATTTAAATTTTTACTTTTTTTTAGGTATTGTGGGGTAATTAATCAATAAAACAATATTATTTGATATTTCAGACACGAATTAAGTCTTGGTGTCATTTAACTTTTTTATAAGAATATTAAATATTGTTATCTATAGAGTTACAACGAATTACAATAAATCTAATATTTTAGTTGAATTATCTATCTACCAAAATGAGCATTTTTTAGCAGGATTCATAGGCGAGTTCAAAGGACATTTAAAGTCTTGCGAAAATTCTGGCATATTGGACACGGCTCCAATAACTCGGAACTCCATCGGCGGATGAGGGTCAAAATCAAGATCAATTTTTAATTTTTTTAATAGAGATTTTGAGCAGAAATTGTTTGCAAAATTGATCCAAAACATCTGCTGAGGTGTATAACGTAGGCCTGGCAAGCGAAATTCTTTGCTATTCCTTTTTGACCATTCAATGTAAGCCAAATAAGAGGCTTTTAAACCAACGTTGTCAGCGATATTTTCACCTTGCGAATCATCTCCGTCAACCTTAAACGTTATTAACCTTTTCAATTATTTTCTTTTTCATAACAATTAGAATCAAAATCATTTGTTGTCTACGTACCGTCTTATTAACTTCTTTCACAATGTATTTACTGTATTGCTTAACAATGCATTCTGTTTTTTTCAAATATTTTTGTCTCGTTTCATTTTTCCACCAGTTAAACAAGTTTCCTTTTTCATCATATTGACTTCCTTCATCATCGAAGGCATGGCTCATTTCATGACCTATAATTGATCCTATGGCTCCATAGTTTATATAATTTGGTCTGTTGCTATCGTAAAAGTGTCCTTGTAAGATTCCAGCTGGTAATGCTATAATTATGGTATAATAAATATAACACTATCTTTTAAAATTTAATCGTTAATATTTAATTGAAGATGTACCGAAACTGTTTTTGCTAAAGTAGTAGACGGCATTTGCTTGTACTATATCACTGTAAGTTATCCAATCAAATTGATTTACTGGTTTTCTGAGGCGCGAAAATATTCTTTTTCTTGATAGCTGATTTAAAGTCAATTCAGATCTGAGAAAACTTTTAGAATATAGTTTTAGGGTACGGTAGTATTCATTTACATTTTTATCGTTTTCAAGTTCCACTGGATAACCAACACTCGATTTCATGGTGTTCAGTTTTTTTAATGCCATAAGTTTTGTTTCTTCATCCATCCAATCTGTCTGCAATTAAATTATTCTTTTAGCATGGTATTTTTTCACGTGAGTGTGTCTTATATATAAAAAATGACTGTAAGTAAAATATCAATAAACAATAATAACAATAGAATAATTAGAAGAGAGGTAGGTAGAGCTTGAAAATAATAAACTTTGTTAAACGAACCTGTTCAATCATGTGATGTAAATAATCACGCAAATTATATACTATATTAGTTGCCTCATTTTTTGCATTTATATGTGAGTAATCCTTGACGTAGAGCCGACCAATAGCTGGATAAAACCATTGGTATAAATTTTTAAAACATACTTCCTTACGTTGTTTCTGTACTTCGGCACCACCAAATTCTATATTGCCTTCATGTACAATGCTCGACAGTTCTTTTCCCATGAATTCGATCGTCTGAGAAATTGTACGAACACATATATAATTAGCAAGTACGCGTTTTGGAGTTTTCTCAATAAGATTAGGTAAACTTCTTAAAAAATTGGGATCAGCTACGATGATTTCTTCGTCCTGATCAACGTGGGCATACGGTGCTAAGATTTCATTAAAAAATTCAGTCCATGATATACCAGTGTATCTAGTTTCTAACTGCTGTAAAGTCATACGATTGTTACGGTTGCTCGCATTTCGACGATCTTCTTTTGGCATTGAAATCTAAAATTCATCAAAAATTAAATATCAAGATGTTTACTCTGTGTCTGGTAGAAATATAACATCGTCTGATTAATATAATATTTGACAATACATTTTAATAACATAGAGTAAAAAATACCTTTGCTAAAGCTATATCAAAATCCACAACGCTGTCAACTACCTTTTCAGCTTGTTTTTTATCGACTCCTAAAACTTTGAAAATCTTAAGGACCATTTGCATAAAACCTTGGACAACTTCATTGTCTTTGCCATCAATTAAACTTTCGTAAGGCAATTCTGTATTTGGACTATCAATCTGTAATATTAAGCGATCATAATAATATTTTTTTTTTAATTTTGAATGTTTAGACTTGATTTTGAAAACAAATAAATTCTTTCTGATAATTTGTAATTTGGTAAAGCTTACTTCGAGTATATTCCTGCTACTGTTATCTGGATCAGCTTCAGAAGATATTTCAAAAAAAAGATTAGTATTATAACCCATTTTATTAGCATTATACATTGATATTTTCCAATCGAAATTTGCTTCGTTCCAATATTGACCTTCCAATATTGGACAGCCTCCTAATACTTTTAAATCTTCACGTAATTCCTTTTCACTATTTTCTTCTATTTTATCTATAGATTTTATGTGCATTAGTTGATTTATCTGAATGTGTCTGTCATAAAATAAAATTTAATGAAGTTACCTGTATCCATACATGATCTATAGTAAGTTTTCATCGATGAGAGAACTGAATCATCTGAATCTGTTGAATTATTTTTTTTAAGTTTATCTAGTAAAAGTAGATGAAGTTGTTTTTTTATTTCGTCATCTAAATTTTCTAAAGTGCCAACAGTCTCTTTAGTGTCAGGAATAATCGTGTCTTCTACAAATTTACCGCAAGCAAATTGATAAAAGTTATCGCATGGATCGACGTTCGTATTCATATTTTTAAGAATAAACGAAGCTACATACATGTAAAAATAAAAATTATATTACAATAAGTACAATTAGTTACATCTACAAATGTATTTTAAAATTTAACTTACCCGCATGCACACACGCTTGCGTTTCACATATCGCATCATTATTAATCGGTAATTTATCAGTTTCTGTAATACAGTAAGATACATCAATAATTTTATGATTATTTGCAATTCAACATATAAAAACGTTATGCCACGTACAAAATGGACTAGTGCATAACACTTGCGTTCACTATGGGCTAATGTCGAAGTTTATTATTTACTATACAGTGTTACTATATAGTATTGCAAAACGAGCTTTAAATTATAGCGTATAGTTAGCAAAAATTTTGTTAGTGTGTATCAGTAGATTGAGCCCATTATCTCACTCACGAAGAGATTGGTGTGTTATATCGCATTATAATAATATGAGATCTTACGAAAATTTATAAATCTTCGACGACGGACGTAAAATCATAATTTCAAGTATATTTTGCGATATGAAAAACATAGTTTGGTTTAATATTTCTAGATAGAGGGAAAACTAACGTTAAGACAACTTAAATTTTTTTTCGCATTCATTTTAATGCACGGATATAGATTAAAATGTTTATTGACAAAATTGAAAATTCAAAAATTTTAATATTTCCATCATTTGATATGAGATATAGTGGACAATATTATTTATTGGTAAATAAATATGCAGTTATGTTGATACTCATGATTTAAAAATGTTAACGATGAAGTTTTAAGTTTTTATCATCCGAAGTTCTGTGTAGAAAAATTGTGATTCAAAAGTTTGCAGAACACGATAAAAAATGTAATATAAGTTCTAAAAATATCATACTTCTCTATAATTATATCCTTGACAATAAGCTGACATTGTAAATAATACTTTGGTAGACGTTCGTGGGGTTTTGTGTTTTTAAAAAAATTTTTTAATATTTTACGTAATTTAATAAAGGTGAAGTCGCTGTACAATATTTTATCATGATAATCTATCTTCTATTGCCTATTTTATGTATTTGAAGTTGAACTTTTGCATAGAGCAATGTTCAATTAATTTCTCTATTGAAGTATCAGTCAATTTTCATTTTGAGGTTAATATGATTAAATCATTCAATTTATATTAAATTCATGCCCACTATACTGATGCACTTTTCCAATATTTTTATTATCTACGAAAATCTGCTTTAATTTTTCATGAATATATTAACATACACGTACGCGCGCGCGTGCACACAACACACAGACACACACACACACACACTCACAGAGTAGTCCACAACAGCTAATCATCCGACTATCTTTCGGCCAATCAGGTCACAAATTAACTGACTTGTCACTTTGTCAGGTTCTCTTTTTTATAAAAGGGGGATTTGTTTTATAGTATTCAGGGTAAATAGTAACGTACCTATGCTTTTAGAAGCTGCTGCGGTCAGTGTAATTATTGTTGCAAATAGTAAAATCATGGCTGCTTCTCTATATCCACATATATAGAGATTTGATATTCAACTTGCACAAATATCTTGAATTGAAAGTTTTTTTTGTACTATTTAAAAAGTAAAAAAAGTTTCTACGGTATTCATATCTCTGATAAAAATAAGTAAGTCATAAATAATACTTATATTTTCTGAAAATATAAAAAATTTGCCAGAAAAAATTGTCAAGTACAAAAAACTCGTGTTCATCGTACTATATACTACTCAAATCTCCCCTCTATTCGAATATCTGATATTGTTACTTTTATTATTCGTAATTGACGTGTGATGTTTTACGTAGTTCGTTATTGACTTTTGAATGATTTATATTGATTCCGTGCGTATTTAACTATTGGACCATTATATTATTAGAATGAAATGTTTGTACAGCTTTTACGTTGCTGATAAGCAGACTAGAATAAGAAACATCTAAAAACATGAATAAATTCTATTAGCTGGAACTAAAAATATCAATTAGTTCGAGCATATTTAATTTTTATGTCATAATAATATTTTAGACTTATAAAACTCGGAGTGAAAAGTGCTAATGTATTACAAAAGTTATCTAGTAACTTAGCTTTTATACATATTGGCATATTTACATGAATCATTTTTATTAGGATTATTTTATCCTGGCAATTCTTTATACTAATCAAAATTATTTATTGTTTACTATTATATTCTTACTGTTATAATATGTATATAATTTGTGAGTACTTTATTTTTTCAATGCATATTTTTTAAGTTATTATTTAGTGTTCTCATTTTGGTATCAATTTCAATGAATGAACAAGTTCGTTTTGTTCCCCATCAACGTGTCAGCATTCGAAAAATACTGACGCAAATTTAAGTTTGAACACCGGTCGAAATTAATCTTTATGAAATCGATGGAGTGGAAAACCGGTCTTTATTACACAGTTTCATTATTTGCCACACTACAACGTTTGCCACGTTCGCATAACTGCTGAGCGCATTGTCTTTCCACGATATTAGATTATCGATCTTAGAGGATATCATGTCTTATTTTTACAGTAAGATTTTGGCCAATTTCATCTGGATGTCTTGCGTATGGCAGCTTACTGGTATCAATAGAAATACTAATAATTTCATTATATTGATGAAAATTCAATTTTCGATTGCAACGTTCAGCATTTATTCAGAAATATACACGTATTTACAGCACTTTTTTTGTATTTTTCCCCTCTATACCGTTCATATAATTTATTTCGGCTTCAATTTGTTAATTAATCTGAAAAACCTTTGCCAAAAGAAGAAAAATCAATCAATTATCCATCACCGAAGAGTTCCAAAAGTCAAAGCCTGCTGCGTCGTAGAAAAATTTTTCCTGGGAGAGAGCCTCAAGGGAGGAGGTCGCCTGGCAAAACAGGCCGCTCCTCCCTTTTTTCACGCGTCCAGCTGGTACCACTGAGGGGCAGGTGTGCGCGCGCTGACGACCGAGGACACGCAATGAAAATCACGTGGGGGAGGAAACGCAGCTTGACGCGTAGTCACCGGCTATTATATACATTGCGGAGTTAAAGTCACGGGTTTTTTTCTTTCCTTTCTTAACCTGCGGTGAGGGATGGCTTTTTTCCTGAACAGAGGAAGCTAATTTGTTTGTGATTTTGCGGTAGATTTTTGGTGGTAATAGCACTTTCCAATCTTTGTTTTAAACTTCTAGTCCTTCGATTTTCAACCATACTGGAAATCCTATCATCCCGAATATCATCCTCCAAAGTAACGAATTCCATTCAATTGAAATAAATTCGAGTAGCTCAAAAATGTAACTGTGAAAGATGAAAAAAATAAATTGTCTTTAATTTTTCTGGATTACAAGTATGCTCAGTGGACATATCCTCATCATCAAAAGTGTTCTCCCAGGCCTCTCACCTGCACGTCGTTTATTCAAGCGACAAAAGCAAATAGTATGAAAAATTGCAGCCCCATCCCTCCGAAAAATCTATATAGTCAGCCAAAAAGCCGGAGGAGAAAAGCAAATCATTACCCTCGTTTCATCATTTTTTCTTCCTCCTCCTCTGCGCGGAAAAGCTCATTAATAATAACGGATAAATGGACCGAGAGGCTCACCTGTCGATCGCTCATCGTCGTGACACACCAACGATGAATGAACGACCAAGGGGTTCAGACAAGGAGACTCTTGGTCTTTGAGTTTCTTGGTAAATACATACGACTTTGTACACCCGTCGTTGCTCACCGACTGCATCAAACGCTCAATTGATCGAAATTCCTGGGTCACATTGAAGGTGGAAAGCATTAGTCAGGTTGATAGGAGGGTGCGGGTATGTGTGTGAGAGAGAGAGAAAGGCGAAAGACGTGAAAATTAATCAACGGACTATAGTGATAGGAGCGTATTGTTTCTACTTGGACTTGAATCGCAGGAGAAATTGATTATAACGATAAGAGAACTATAGTTTGTATCTTGCCGAAATATTGTCTAATACGAAGTAAAACAGTTTGTCACAAAAACATCGAAACCTCGAGCACACGCAAGCACAAAAGATATCAATCGTCATTTTGGACGTGGCGAATTATGAATCCAAGTTCAAGAGCAACGCATGCCATCCCTTGTGCGTGCCATTTGAACTCCAGAAGCAGGCCAGTTGAAATCGAGAAAGTAGGTTGCCCCGTTCAAGTGCATTGGCTCAAGAGGAAAAAAAGTCCTCCGTCCTTTCTCGTGAAAATCTGGCTGCGTGTCCATATAGCCTTCAATCAAGGCAGTGATCTCTCCCCATTCAACGAATCTCGTGCGAAAGCGCGCCAAGTCGCCGGCGCTTGGCAACAAATGAACGAATAATCGTCTCAGGTCCCCACTCGCGAAAGAATAGAAGTTAGCGCACAGAAGTGGCTTTAGAGTCATTTGTTGCTTGTCCTATACCAAAACTTGTCCCTACTGCTTTCCGAGCGCTATACAGGAGTTAACTTTGCTCGAGAGCTGCTCGTTTTTGGGTGGCTTTGCGGTTATTCTTTGGGCTTTTGTTGGTGCTACATACAATTGGAGTCGTTAAAAAATGCTTTTTTTGTGCCTATGAGGATCAAAGAGTCAGGTGAATTAGTGCTGATTAAGAATTCTTAGTTAATGAAGACCAAAATGCGAAAAATCGCAAGGAAATCAATGTATACAATAATTTTGTTTTACAATCCTGGACGAACATCAAAAATATTCCAATAATTTCTTTTACTAATCAAATCACCGCACATTCATTTATATCAAACTAAAAAATAAAGCTCCAAGAACCCCTACGTTTAAACCGATAAAAACTCTGACGCAAACAAACTATTTTTCCCCTTGCGTACGCGAGGAATTGAATTTTTCGATGACAATAACATTCTCAAGCTTTTCATATATAACGTTGCTGCTGCTGCTGCTGCTGCTGCTGCTGCACGGTTAGCGACAGATTCCGATCTTTAACGTCCTTTTTCTGCGCGAATACAAAAATATACAAAAGAGAGAGAAAGAGCGAGAGAGAGTGAAGAAAGAGCGACGAAGGTGGCGGCCGATTATTCGGGCGTAAAATATTTAACGAGGCCGCGCGCTTCTTTGTAAACGCGACGCTTCTGCGCGCGAATATCGCAATAAAATATCGTCGCTCATAAATAGGCCGCGACGACGACGTAGCTATGGTGAGAATAGGAAGAATCGTAAAAGCAGACCGCTTGGGGGGAGGGGGGGGGCAATCGCAACACTGATAATTTCCTGCAATGCCGCGAGCAAACGACGGGATGCTTAATTTTAGCGCTCGACGGGGGTAAGTGCTGTACGTGCTGATTTCGGTCAAATGATAAACTCGCGCACGCGATATTTTGGGACTGTTTGAGGTTTTACGACATGCACTGATGCGCAGTGCGACGAACGCGATAAGTCCAGCTGTCGCAGATCTGTTGACGATAGCGTGGCGCGCGCTCGACGAATGCGTGCGTATATCAGCCTGAACATTGAATTGAAAATCAGGGCTATAAATGTCGGCGCGCAGAAGTTTGAATAACGATGTAATGACGACACTCGTAAAGACAAACGTAGTATTTTTGTGGACATTATCCAATTGACGGTATCTAGAACGTACGCAGGCGCGCTCCCGAGGAATACGTATGTCCCATAAGGAAGTCAGTCAGTTTTGTTCGCTAATCCGATTGCACCCAATGAACTGTGTAGGTCAGTGTGACTCACCTATTTTGGCACTTTGTTTGCTATTTTCTTCTTCTGTTTCCCTCCAGATTCGAACTAACAGTTCGTCTCCTACCAAAATGTCAGCCAAATTTTGAATGCTCAAAACGAAATGCTACGTGAAAAAATAAAAGTATATACTGAGTATAATAGCACCAATTTGGGATGGGGAAAAAAGTCGCGCGAGGGCGAGTGTTGGATGCAAATGGGACGGCGTCGTCGTCGCCGGCATGACAAAAAAAGAGCAGGAACTCGTGCGATGACACTCAGTGGCAGAAAGCTATATCTGCCGCTAATTGGACCCTCGAGGTGACGCTCACGTTCGCGCGTCTTTGAAGGCGAAAGAGAGAGAGGGGGGGGGGGGGAGTTGCGCGCAAGCTCTGCCGAGTTTCTATTGGTAAATAAAATGCGTTTTTCTTTCAAAGCTTGACGACCCCGTTGCATATAGGATTCCTTTTTTTATCGGGAGTTATTGCTGCGTTTCGCGTGCCGATCCTGTGTGATGCTCTTCTTCCTTTTTTTTGTGAAAAGATCGCACGGAATTCGATAAAAATGCGGAAAGCTTTTTTTTTTCAGGATATGCGCGGTGAATCATTGAGACAAAAATGTTAATTATTAGATATTTTTTATTGAATATTTTCATAAATATTTTCGTCAAAATAATCCAAAAGTAACGGTAATATTACATATAGAAATATATGATTCTTGATATAAAATTTGTCGAGTTATACACAATTCAAGTGCCATCGTTTGAAATATTGACCTCGCTCCAAATTATGTAAAACGGTTATATTTAAAATGCTGTTTCTTGTACTTTTTTGTTGATAATATAATGATGATCCAGTGTTGAGTGAAAAGCCGATTCATCGGTTCAGCTGTTTTATCTTTAAAAACATGTGCATGTGTAGCCTAAGCTTGCGTCAGATTTTAAACACAAATGATTATCTGACAAACATTTGACGGAGCAGAGAGCGCTTTGGAAGCTATTACATTTCTCCGGTAGGAGGTTAGGAATGACTGTAAAGGAGGAAAAAAAGAATCAATGTATTAATCGATGCGATGAAATTTCACGTGTTTATTGGTCTTTCAGTGAAATTACTTTTGGCATCGCTAACAATTGTACATTTCACTTTTACCGGACACTTCTTCACTTGTTGAAACAATAAATCCAGAGAAATAAGTAGGAAATTTGCGATTGTGTTATCGATTTACTAAATACACTTGATATTTTTCTAAAATACTGACATTTTGAAGTCTCACTATTACATAAATTTATATATTTTATGCGGAAAAAATATATTTTTGCAAAATGGGTTTGTATATTTTTTACTAAAATGAGAACACTTTTTTTTAAAAATAAACTTAATTTATGAGAATGCCGACCGAGTGAAAGTTACTGTTACATTCTATTTTCAAGCTGTTCAAAACTAATTTGTATTACGATTTTGCAAAAATTAAATTTACTTTAGCACAAACAAAAGTAAACGAATCACAGTCGTGCTTTGATAACAACACATTTTTAACCATAAACCAAAATCAATCACAAAAACTTAATTTCATAACAAAAGCAAGAAGAAAAAAGAACTAGAATAAAAAAAACTCACGATCGGCAGCACATAAGGTGACAACGACGAGCAGAAAGAAAAATACGTAAAACTTCATTTTTTCACACTTGGATTTTTATTTAAGAGATTTGCTTAGCGTTCGACGTCTGGTAGTGTACTGATAGCTCTGACCAGTTTAGACTTTTATATTTGCCTGAGAGTTGAGCGCGAAAGAGAGAGAGAGAGAGAGAGAGAGAGAGAGAGAGAGAGAGAGAGAGAGAGAGAGAGAGAGAGAGAGAGAGAGAGAGAGAGAGAGAGAGAGAGGGAGAGAGAGAGAGACGCTTGTGTGTTTGAATGTGGATCGCATACAATTCACGCTTCTATAGGTATATGTGCTACGCATTTTTTTATAATCATGTTGACTTCTACACGGAATGGATTTGACCTTTTTATGGCGCTATCAACTTCCTCTCAAATGTAGATACGAAAATATGCCTAATGAAATTCTGTAATGAGAATTAATTATCGGGAATTTCCGGATTATAATTTAATCTCTTTTGCGTTACAGAACGCTGATAGTTGGGAGACATAAATTGAGTTCGACAGTGTTTTATTAGTTACTCGAGATTCTACTTTTATCTTGAGATACAATTGTGCGCAAGTCTACTTTGAAAGTTTGCTGAAAAAATAATAAACACGTGTATTTTATCTATCTAAACTGAAATTATCTTCAGACACTCGCTTCTGTATCACTTACGTCGCAAAAATTGCTTAAACACTCGCACGTAATTTTTAAACTGACTCGCAGCAACCATCATTTTTCAAAACTAAGGTCAATCCAATGTGACTCTTACTTTTCTTGCCGTATCTTTTTTAATGTTCACAGACGTTGCATTAATTTCATTAATTTATCACTAAAGCGTCAGCGATCCTGTTTTTTTTTTCAAGTTCAAACATAATACAGCTAGCATATCTAAATGTGTATGTCTAGACTTATTACGAGCATGAATAAATGAACAGGAATGATAACAACACTGCAGGTATACCAACATAGATCCGGCATCTATGCTGACGTAAGGCGATCCAATTTTTTTTTTCATTCAGTCTTTTCATTACATCACACATCTTTCAAGTACCACCTGTTACCTTGACAATAACTTTGCCTCTTTTTTTCTGCGTCTCTGCGTCATTCACTGCTAATCATAAAAAAAGGATTTTACACGCACATAAAAGTGAACAATAAATCCAACGCTGGTTTATGTGCGTGCACTATGATTTATTTCTTCAATGATTGTGTATAGCAGTTGTGTGTGCATATGTACCAAATAATTATCTTTGTATAACTTTGCATTAGTCAGTGACGAGATACTTTTATTCGGAGTTATAAAAATCTATTGCTTGGTAAAGATTTTGAGACTCGTAGTTGCGATTTTGATATTATCTCTGTTTAATAAATGTTGCTTAATTATAAAGTTTTTAATATGAAATTAGTTTGTATTTTCAAAGATTTGATAAGTACAAGCGTCAGTTTTGAACACAATTAACACTTCCGGACAATGATAGTAACAGTAAAAGAATTTGTATTGAATAAGTTATAACAATTTGTCATCTGCTTCTTTGTAATTCAAATTAAATATGTACCAAATGAGAAGATAATTACAGAAATTATCTCAAATGAAAATCTTGCGCGATATATACAACAATGATGAAATCCTTGGCTTATGAGCAGAAGGCCACACAATGGCTTTCAATTATTTGAAAAATATTCTCACATACAATTGTATTTAGCTTCGAGCATGATATCAGCGAAAGATATTTCACCATTCTGTGCCGATTGGTATTTTCTAATAATTATTACGTTATTCACATCTTTTTGTCTAACGACTGTTAAACAATTCATAAGAATTCGGTGCAACTACGTAAAAAAACATAATAAGTAAAATCTCACGGCACCGTGATTTTTTAATACGGCAAGCACAATGCTCGCGCATAAACGTCGCGGGGCATTCGAGCCATTTGTTATATCGCGAGCGTCGTCACATTATCCAATTTTCCAGGCAGATACAATAATTGGGCATTCACGGCGGAGGCGCTCGCGTCACAACAAGAAGTAAGAAGAATGAAAAGAAAAGAGCGTCGTCTTAAAACGTCACTAATTATTGTCGACGTGCGGTAACGATGTGCTTGCGCTTTTCTTGCGAGGAAGCATCTTCTCTCGAGCGATGATATAATTATTATTATTATTATTATTATTATTATTATTATTATTATTATTATTATTATTATTATTATTATACACGACGTCATTCAGGCCGACGAACGACCGACTCTTGCCTTTTTTTATCTCGCTTTCTTTTCAGCGACTGAGTAGTTAGCGAGGTACAGATGCCTTGCGATGTTATCTTCTTATAATTTGTCTCTTTTTAAATTGAAAGATTTATGCTTGCCTCGTGAATGCACGACGGTTTTTATGGAAGACAAAATTTTTTTCTTCTGATAATAGTAGTTTTACTGCTAACCTAATACTTTTCATGTGATAGATGTAGCTTGTTTTTACAAACTTCATTGTATACAAAACGTAAATATTCACTCGTTTATGTTTGAAAAAGAAAGTTTGTTTCATTTAAGTTTTATTATGCATTAGTTGCTGGATGTATATTTTATGCATATAATCATCACAATTAGTTCTAGGCAGCCTCTACAACATCGATCGCAAGTCTGACTCAATACACTGAATGATTAATCATAAGTTTTTAGTTAGTAATTTATTTATTAATAATCAAAATGATGATTCTAATGCTAATGTATACAAAATTTTTTATTCTTATTAAACTATATAAACCATGAGTTGTATATGAAAGTGGATGACAATTTATTATGTAATCATGCCATACGTTATTCATCGTTGTAGTTCAGAGAAAATTAGTTAATTCACATTACATGAAATTATTTCAAAAAAACTGTTAATTCAAAATATGTATAATGTGTGAACAAAGAATTACCGTAGTCACATCCCGTTCGAAAAAATTGTAAACAAAAGCATTATTATAACCCATATATACTGAGACAGTTTCGTATACGAAATCTCATCTCCCAACCATTCTCTTCTCATTCGCCTATTTCCTTTTTTTCCAAGCGAGTAGATACATCAACAATGAGATCAGGGATTTTCAAAAACGGTTTATTAGACGTCGTCGAGGGAAAAAAAATCGCGTGTGCCAGTCAATGCAACTTCGTCGTCGTGCTTTTGATTGACAGCTCCAGTGGCTTTCACGCGTCGGAAACGTCTATTGCGTGACGGAGCTCTAGCTGAGCAATGAAATCTCTCCTCCCTTTTTTCTCAGGTTTTCTGATATAGTATAGTCGGGTGAAGATGAGAGAGATTTGGTGATAGGATACAGTATGAAGATTCTCCGCGGGGCTTTTATTTGTTCTTTTTTTTCCTTTTTCTAAGAACAGTATCAACGCTTCGATTTGATCTGAATGTTATCTATTACCCGGTAGATAGACGTTTTTTTGATAATTATATGATTATGCATAATATTTTTGAAACGTTTGCTACTGAGAATTGTGTGTACACTTGATATTGATAAAAATGGTAATTAAGTTGAACGAGCTAATAAAACGGAAAGTCTGTTATCATTTTTATTTATCCAGAAAATTTAATAATCTTGAAGCATATATTGCTTAATTATATGCGTCTAGCAAAGTAATTCTTATCGTAGTTTTATTATATTCTTTTTATTATTTTTTTTTTTTTTGTAGTTTTATCGCGTAATATGAAAACATTTTTTGAAATTGAACAATAAAAGTTATTTACGTTTCTTTGATATTCATAATTTTTCATTCAAAAGCAAACTTTGTTGTTCCAAACAAAGTACAGAGGTGAAAAAAATTGTGTATTCCAGAGCGACTGAAATGAAACTGAGAATCCAGGGTAAAATAAGACGAGGCTGTAAGGCGAAAAGATCCCTTTTGCTGTAGCCGTGGCTGCAATCGCGACAAGTCGCGCGGGCTTTGGCATTGTCGCGCAGGAAATACGAGATTATCCGTGCATTGTCACCCGAAGACGAAGGGGGTAGAGAGCGAGAGAGAAAGATTAGCCCTCCGTTCGCGCCTGTGCGCGCGAGTGTTGTGTAACACCAATTGATATCTCGCGACGACTGACGGCTATTTACTAAAAAGAAACAAAATATAGAGGAACTTTTTTTTCTCATGTCAACGCGCGAGATGCCTTCTTTCAGGGCGAGAGAGAGAAAGAGAGAGAGAGATTTGCTTTCACTTGGGGACGTGCGTCATACGCGAGAGAGAGAGACGTTTTTATTGAGTTGGACTTGGGGTCACCCGATCAAAGTAGAACAATGTTGAGACTTTTGTGTGCGAGTTCACGTCTAAATTTTTTACTCGCTCGGATGATTCAGAATGTGGCGCTTGTTTCACACTTGATTTTGAGCACAGATATGTCTTGAGTTAGGAAAACTCTACAGCTTTAAGTGGAGCTACGGTTATGGTTTCAAGTAAAATGGTTAAATTATTGACGCGACAAAGCTTTCAAACCTCTTCTCATTGATCCTCTAAACTAACAGCCTAATAATCATTTTTTAAATAGATCGATATTAATAGTTATTTAAAAATTCGGCAATGTGTTTGAATAAAGTTCAATTTTAAAATTAGTTACTGGACTTAATTTTAATGTTTCTTTACCAGGATACACTTGATATTTTTTCATTTTTTTTAATTATTAAGCACTCAGTATCTTGAATTGATCGAACATACGGTATTAAAACAATTCCATTTGTATTAGGAGTAGGCTAAATATTTTGCACATACCTTGCAAGACTCACGGAATTATTAGGCATAACTCATATTAATTGTTTATCATATCATAAATGATAACTTTCTTATTTTCAAAGTTACTTCAACCAATGTAAACAAGACATCGAATAATTAAGCCACGTTCGGTTCTGTATATTTGAAAAATCTTCTAGAAAAACTTGAAAATCCCCATGCAACACTCATCTCCTTCTCTTTTTCACGCACACAAATACAAAGTCGCGAGGGGCTTGTGTATATACACATACACGCAGTACTCAACAATGACGTGCATACGAGCCTCTGTCGCTCAATTGTGCGCGCGTCCCGATTAAATAACGGCCAAAAGGGCGTCGTTGCGTCACTGAAGAAGA